GACCGTCACATTATAATGTCCACACATCTGAAAGGGCGAGCATGTTTGGTGGGACGGGGATGGTCTTTTGGATGAAAATGGCATAAATATAAATGTAGGTCATTGATTGTATGGAATGACAGTTTAAAATGAGGATATATAGTTTCAAAACACATTTGACTAAAAATAACTGGACTTATGTGAGCCACATTAGTCACAAATATTTCTACAAGGCAAATATAGAATCACAATTTAGAGAGAAAAAATAGTTAATCATACTCCCCAACACCACTGTAAAATATACAATGGTTCTATTTCAACAAATGAAGAGCATGTTAAATTAACTGCTAGTAAGTTATATGTACTAGACTCCCTGCACAATTACATTACTGCCCAGTAACTATAAAATTAAACTGTCTATCAAACCCAAAACATCTGATAAGTTGTAGACATAGCCAATTATTTTTATACGACTAATTTTACAGTTTATTAAATATTTTAAACAAAAAATATTACAATTAATCAACTACTTATTTCTTTTTCAAAAATACTTAATACCTTACAAAACATAAGATGGGTAATTCTAAAATTATTTCGTATTATAAATTCATAAAACGTTAAAAAGAAAAGATGTTATACTATTATTATATGAATGCGTGCTCTATGACGTATATCTCAAAACCATATATTATTCACGGTACAACCTTTTCCAACCTGGCGTTATTGATCCAAGAATCTTTGTACTCACTGCTGACTGAACGTTAGGCCTGAAACTGAATACAGAGCGATTATATTGTAGCAAGTTCATAATTCAGGTAAAATCCCACACTTGAAACGTGCATCCTTTGCTAAACTGAACGCTTTTGTATTCCAATGGCATCTAAATATTTTAATTTTTAAATCCAATTATACCATACAGTTATAGTATTAGGCTGAAAGTTTAAAGGTAACTATACAAACAATCACCCCTACCCTACTCTGCAACTCAGCCAATCTCATACTTTTCCTTCCGGTATGCTCACGGAATGACATTTTTCTTGGCAGCACATGACCATCGCTAAGATTGTCAATATACCCCTCCGGAAGTAGATGGTTGCGCCTGGCCCACTTCCTGCTAAATTGACAAGCGTGTGGTGGTTTATTGGTTGTCAATGGAGAGTTACTACTGTATTTTAGAGCAAGGACATATAAGCTGCAATATGTATTTATTTATATAAATTTGTCACGTGCTTTCTCTACATCCTTCGTTGTTCTTATTCTTAACATAACTGACTGAAAATGCCGTAATGACTCTGCTAATCTAGAATATTCTATAAATGAAATTATACTAATTATGATACGTACGAACCCAAGGGTATTTATTTTTATTCCAGCGATGTGTTTGTTAAAAGACAATACTGTTTACAATTGTTATGATGAACACCTTTTCTAAGCTGACAAGTATTATGAAAATTAATTATACTTACCATCAGACATCAATATTAGGCTTATTATATTTTTAACACTATGTTTTTTATTCAGTCCTTAGGGTTTGTTTTTTTTTTAAAGAAGGGTGTATGATCATGCAGACGGTAGCACTGCCTATACAATGATGGCTCGGTTTGTTCATCGAAATGGTATTTTAAATATATCCTCAATATGTCATCAGAACTTTACAATACTATACAGTGTTTCCTTTTATAACAAATGTCTGTAAATACCCTAGCAAAAAGTTTGAATTTCTTTGTCTTCCTCCTTCTGCCTCTTTTTATTACACAATAACTCAAAAACCAATACAATGGTGTTAACCAATTTCATTGAGGTGATATTGTTTCAAACGAAGTATCACAAGCGTATAGCCCGTCAAAAATGACAGGGCAAGTACCACCATCCCCACCCTATAATATACCCTAACATCGCATTTCATAGCTAACTGAAATAAATAAATTTTGCGAAATCAACACTGACTGACAAAGAAGCAGAAAAGTGCAATCAAGCAGTCAAACGTCGGTAAATTCCTTTGTGAGCCAATCAAAATTAAGATAATTCATTAAATGAACTCGTGGCGTATTCATAGAATAACTATTGGTTAAAATCAGTTAGATTAACAACTTATAATATATAGAAAAGCCATTGCGTTTTGATAACACTAGGTTCCAACAATGACCTTTATGTCATGTTGCTTAGCAACAAATGTATCTGTATAAATACTGTTAGGACAGCGGAAGTCACGTGATTCTGGTAACACGTGATGAGTTTCTAGAAAGATCATGAAGGCTCGAGTGTTTGCCAGACGCCCTCTATTTTTGTATATATATAAGCCCGGCAAATAAAGCGGACACAAGAAGTGACAGCATAGAGAATTGCAGATAAACAGACAGATAATTGAGTCAAGTGAGCGATAGTGACCGTAAGTAAAGTGAGTGAATCGTTGTGAATTTTAGCGTGTGTTTAAGTTAAAGTGACTGTAGACATTCTGTGTATTGCAAAGTTGTATTGAGAAAAAAATAGTTTTATTTAAGAAAGGACTTGTATCGCTGAAGTTCCCCGGGAAGAATTTATACGGGAAATTATCAAACAAGCATATACGTAAAAAATTGGTGTCAGAAGTGGTATGGGACCCCACGTTGCTGTGTGGACTTCAGGGCTCTTAACAGTATAACCGAAAAAACTCATACCCACTGCCAAGAATTGATGATACTATTGATGCCCTAAGTGGAGCCAAGAGGTTTTCAACTCTAGACTTAAAGTC